GCCACCTTTGCTTTTTGCCCCCCCTCCCTCCCCGCTTCCCCGGCGCTCCCCCCCCCCCCCGGCCCCCTCCGGCCCCGTCCTCCTTTCTCTCCTTCCCCCTCTCTCTCCAGGAGCGACTCTGGGTTAGCACAATTGAACTGGATTTACGAGCGAGAATGGGTAATTACATCCCCCATAAATTTTATGGCTTAGCTACTCTGGGCAGTCCGAGCCATGTGCTACGATCTGTTATGTATGTGTGAAAACTATGCTCGCTTTCTAAGGGCGCATAAATAATTCAGTGTCGTTACAATGAGGATTCCCCTCTTATTACACTACAAAGTCTCCAGCTTTCTTCAACTTCTTTATAACCCATTTAGCTTGATGACTTTATTTCCACCACTCCCTCCTTCTGTCCCTCAAAGCTGAGGATGGGGTGAGGGTGGGGGTGGGGAGCCTGCTGCCTCTGAACCCCACTATTTGCTTTTCCCTCCCCTCCCTCCTAGTGAACCCCAATTATAACGGAGGGGAGCCCAAGCGCTCGAGGACAGCCTACACCCGGCAGCAAGTCCTGGAATTAGAGAAAGAGTTTCATTACAACCGCTACCTGACCCGAAGGAGAAGGATCGAGATCGCCCACTCGCTGTGCCTCTCTGAGAGGCAGATCAAAATCTGGTTCCAAAACCGTCGCATGAAATGGAAGAAGGACCACCGACTCCCCAACACCAAAGTCAGGTCAGCGCCCCCGGCCGGCGCTGGGCCCAGCACCCTCTCGGCAGCCACCCCGGGCACTTCTGAAGACCACTCCCAGAGCGCCACGCCGCCAGAGCAGCAACGGGCAGAGGACATCACCAGGTTATAAAACATAACTCACACCTCTGCCCCCACCCCACGCCCTCTCCCCTCCTCACACACAAATTGACTCTTATTTATAGAATTTAATATATATATATATTTTGGTTCTTTTCTCTCTTCCTCCCGCTTCCTCCCTCCTCAATTCCAAACAGACAAAACAGATAAACAAGCCCCTTCCCTCCTCTCCCTTCCACTGTTAAGGACCCTTTTAAGCATGTGATGTTGTCTTAGCATGATACCTGCTGGGTTTTTTTTTAAAGGCCATTTGGGGGGGTAATTTATTTTTTAAGAAAAAAGCTGGAAAAATTAAATATTGCAAGGTGCAATGGTCTGGTTTAGGTGAATTTCAGGGGAGATGAGGAAAGAGAAAAGGAAAGGGAGATTTTTAAGCTAATTCTCATCATTCTCCTCCTCCTTCCCCCCTCTTTCCTTAGGCCTTTTGCATTGAAAATGCACCAGGGGAGGTTGGTGAGGGGGAAGTCATTTTAAGGAGAACAAAGCTATGAAGTTCTTTTGTATTATTGTGGGGGGGTGGGAGGAGGGGGGAGGATGGCAGACAAAGCTAAATGCATCTGGAGAGCCTCTCAGAGCTGTTCAGTTTGAGGAGCCAAAAGAAAATCAAAATGAACTTTCAGTTCAGAGAGGAAGTCTATAGGTAGGATCTCCCCTCACCCCTATCATGGTTATTGTGTTTTTGGACTGAATTTACTTGATTATTGTAAAACTTGCAATAAAGAATTTTAGTGTCGGTGTGAAATGCCCCGTGATCGATAATAAACCAGTGGATGTGAATTAGTTTTACCTCAATGTCTGATGGTTTCTTTTCATCCCCTTCCTCCTGACCTAGTAACATCCTACCTTCTCTAGAGTTGCCTAAGTTTACTCTAAGCAAACACACAAAGCTTAACTCTCAACTCCCAGTTTTCCAAGAGCCTTAGAAGAACCTACAAGGGGGTTGGGATAAGGGATATGGAAGGTGGTGGCTAATTGATCCTGCCTTCTTTATGAGTCTGCAGAGAAGCCAGACCTGGGAGTACTTACAGTGAAGTGAGGAAGCCACTTTTCTATAGTTAGACACAGCCCCTTCTTTTTGTTTGTTCCTCTCTTCTCTTTTTTCTCCTCTTTCTGTCAAGTAGGTCTGCCTAATCTTCAGGCTAGAAGCAAGTTTAGGGAGTGGAAAGGAGAAAAGTTTTCCTCTTTTAGAGCTCTTTTGGGATGAGCGATTGAGGACAATATTCCCTGGGAATCTAGTCTCCTTAGAGCTGATGATCCTGAAGCAGTAAAGTGACCTGTAAGGATTGGCTTCTCTGTTTGTTTAGTCTTGGGGAAGAGGGTGAAGTAGAGGCTAGAGGCCTAAGAGCTGCCCCCCACCATGGGTAGGCCTCAAAGGCTGATGCCTGGAGATAATGAAGGACTTTTATGTTTTCTCCTAACTTTTCTCTTGGGCCAGTCAGGTGTTGAGAAAAGACTGAGAAAGGCAAGGACCAAACCTGTTCTCACAGTCTCCCAGGTCCTTGCAGGGTGTGGGGATATCTGAACAAAACTCTCTGACCGATAAATGTATATATGTATGTATGTTTGTTTCTTTCTTTCTTTCTTTATGGCTAAGAAGAAGGTGGGGGGAGACTAACTTGGATTACTTGAGTTAATTCAAGCCAAAAGCTCCAAAATAAATTTGGTCCTGGAGATCAAGTCCTAATCTAGGCCTGCTAAATTTTTTGTTTGTTTGTTGAAAGACGGTGGGCAGAAGGCAGTTGGTGAAACTCTTCCCAGGCAATTTATCCAAATTTTAGAATGGAGAGTAATCAAAAGTAGGAGAGAGAGGGGGAAGCAACCTAAGGTGCTTAAGGATACCCTTTTCTTCCATTCCAAATTCTGGAGTGAAAGATAATAGTGGGACCAAGTTGTGAAGATCTGTTTGACATATTTTAAATTTATTTCTTCTTAAACTACTTGCTGACTGGTATTTGGAATAGGGTGTGTGTGTGTGTGTGTGTGTGTGTGTGTGTGTGTGTGTGTGTGTGTGTGTGTGTGAGTGTGTGTGTGTGTGTGTGTGTGTGTGTGTGGCGGGAGAATCACTTAGTCCTTTAGGTCTACCTTCTCCTCCCTCTATGGTACCCTAGAGACAGCAAAACATGCTGCCTACAGTGTGAGGAAGCAGGGCCAACAATTATCTGGAGTTATTTTATGTAATCAAGTGAATTAGGGCCTGATCTGACTGTAGCCCCTATCATCTTGAGGCAATTGCCTTTGGGCAGGAAAAGGGAGGGGAGTGTCTAACTGTCCTTGGGAAAAGATTAGGAAAGTGAGAGCTGGACCAGGGTGTATTAGAAAGCCTGTAAAGAAGCTGAGATGGAAAGAAAGTTGAGGGGGGACTTCAGATCTACAATTCTTTGCTAAGTTTGCTCATTTGGAGAGATAAGATCTGGGAGGGGGGAAATCACTAAATATATTTATTTTCTTCCTGAAGTTACTAAAGCATACTATTTAACTCAGGGAAAACCAGCTTTTCAAAGATTGGGGCATTTATTTTCCCTTCTTTACCACCTTCTGTTTTTATTCTCTTGTCACACATGCAAGGTCTCTGTTATCTCTTTCTGTCTTGGTCTGAAAAGGGGAAGCATTAGAAATCCATAATTTTTGACCTATAAACAAAATTAAAATCCTTTAAGTTGATTTTTGAAGGTTTTGGCCTTAGCCTTCCCTCTAGTGGGCTCAGTTTTCTCCACTTTTCCCAAAGCTCTCTTTTGCCTTGCACCTGACCAGAATGGGCTCTGGCTCCCAGGAAGGGGTGTGTTGTAGGGTACCCCAAGCTCCAGCAGTGTTGATCCCCATTGCTCCACCTGATGCTGCTGCAGCCTCACTGGGAAGGCTTTTATTGAAGTTGGGTTGACCGGTAGGGAAAGGCTGAGGGGGAGGACACAGCCCAGGTTCACGGGGAGGACACAGCATTTTCTCTCCCATTGCCTTTATATTCAGCAGCGCCTCTGACCTCTCCCCCACCCCCATCTCCGACCCTCCTAAGCCATCCTTGCTCAGCCCCCCGTCTCCACATAGGATGCCACTGCTTTTGTAGGACTGGGGATTTTTTGCCCAGAGTCCTCAGTGAGGCAAGGTGCATTCATGCCTGCTAGTGCAGCTTTGCATCTCTCTCTTCAATGGCTAAATTTATAAAGAAGAAGGGGTGAACCGGCGACACCAATCTTCTAATTTCTTCTCTCCAAGCATCAGGAGACCCCAACAGGTTCCAAATCCCTTTGGCATGTAAGTAGTTAGCACTCATTTGCTCTGGGGTGAGGAGCACAATAGTTGAAACTCTGTCTCTGTTTGTCACTCATTTTTGTCTCAACTTCTGGCATTAGGGAGGGAAGTAGGAAGTCCAATTGTGGATGGAAAAAATCTGCTTGGGGAAAATGGAGTTTCTATGCTGAGTACCTGGGGAGTGAAGAAATTTGGCTGAAAAGGGAAAAAAGACAGAGCCCTGAGAAAAATGAGACTGGGGGAGAACTTGGAGCACTTTGTTTCTCTGAGGATCTCTTGCTGCTGTTTGTACAAAGTTTTCTCTGCAGTTGTGCATCCACTTTCTTCCTATATGAATTCACTGGACAGATTGAAATTCAGAGATGTCTTCTGTGTAAGAAGAGGTGTGTGTGTGTTTGTGTGTGTGTGTGTGTGTGTGTGTGTGTGTTTGGGGGAGAGTGTATAGTAAGGGATTTGCCAAATCTTGGGTGCTCTCTGATAGGTAGGGCTTTCTTCCGGTCCTGCCTAAGATTTGGGGAGTCTAACTCTAAAGGGGGCCCTTGAGATTGAAGGTGTCCCAATGAGGATGATTGTGCTGAGGAAGTTCCCATCTTTTGCTCGGCCTTTTGCTAAGAGCTTAGTGTTGCACTACTCACAAAGCCACTTCTCTGGGTTTTCCAGGGCTCTTATAGGCACCCCACCTTTAGAAAACTAATTCAAATTCAAATACTTGCCTTCCAAGAGACCTGTCCTAGGTCTGGAAAAAGAGAAGGAAGATTCCCCGACTCCAGCGGCCACCAGAGCAGAGGGAATATTTATTACCTCTCTGCATGTCATTACCTAAGAATACAATTTTATGAACTTCCTAATCTGTTAGCTTGATTTATCCAGATGGGCAGAAGCCCAAGATAAACATTTAGGGGAATTTGGTGTGTGTGGGGGGGAGCCTGCCTGTGACCAATCTTGCTATAGAACTGACCACCCCTCTCGGCTTGCTTTTCTGCTCCCCCTATCACTAGCCCCATTTTTATTTTTCTCCTATAGTGTGTGGCTGCTCCGGTATACAAGTTTTAGCTTCCTCTTGAGAATTAAAAATGGTGGGATGCTTGTTTAAACCAGAAAGCTGCAGGGCTCCCTCAGATACCTTAAAACCTTCAGTGTAGGGAGCTCCATCCCTTTTTCAACTTGGGGGCTCTGAAGAAACTGAAGCCTCAAGCTTCAGGGGGATGGGGAGGTATGCTCTTCTGCCCACCAGGACCAGGAAACCCTTCTCAGACCTGGCTCTCCCTCCACTTCCTTGGGTTTTTCTTTTCTTCTCTCAGGTGTCAGCTCTGAAGCTTCTTGCATCACAGGGCCAGGCGATCCAGCAGAACCCACAGCCATGGCAAACAGGGAAAAAGACCTCTGAAGCTCTACCTTTCTGTTTCCCCTTCCTGCCAGGCCCAGGAATGAATCAGGAGAAAGGGAAGACAAGGCTGGGCAGGGACGGTCTCAGGGTGTATTTGAGGGTGCATAGGGTTAAAGAGCCTAATAAAGGGGAAGGGATTGTTCTGCACTCCCAGTTTTCATCAACCATTGCTGGGTTCTCTAATATGGAGTTGTCTGGGATCTTCTCTGCCTACCTGAGGGATATGGGTCAAGCCAAAAGCACTGTCATCTGTACTCATCCCTCATTTTTTTACTCCCTCTATTCCTGGCATTAGAGATTAGGAGAGGAAAGTATATTTGAATTTCCAGGGGGGCAGAAACCTTGAAATGGAGTGTATAGGAGGCACTGCCAAAGGGCCAAGCCAAACCCTAGGTTCTGGCTCCCAGCCTCTGGCTTCCTGGAAAGCCGAGGCCACAAAGGAATGGGTCAAATTCCGCAGTTTTCCTCTGTCCGGTGTGTTTGCGATGGCGGTGGGGGTGTCTTTTCCTTTTCTTAGAGTGCAGAGGTCTCCAGAATCATAAAATTGGGCCGGCCTCGGGCGAAGGTGAGGTTGGAGAGGCAGCAGCCCTGCTCTTCCTCGGGTTCCCTGTCTTGTTCGCCCTGGGCTCGGTGTCGCCTTCGGCTGGGTCACGACCCAGGGCTCCGACAGAGGACAATAGGGCGCGGGGCGGGGGATGAGGGCTGCGTAGCCGGCTGAGCGGGTTCACCGCGACGTGAACTCCGGATCTGCCTGGGGTCTCACTCTTGGATCCCAACCTCCCTTTTCTTTCCCTAGTTCGCCTTCCAGATTTATTTGTTTGTTTCTTTGAAAACTGAGAGGACTTTCAGTTACTCCTCCACCAGTATCCCTATTGCTACCACCAAATCAGATTTCATTTTCTTTAGAACTGCAAGGACAGTTTTCTCCTAGTTACTAGAACAGAAAATGGGACCCTCTCAAGACCTCCGTGGGGAAGAAGGCAGATGTAGTTCTCAGTAGGAACGGCCTGTAGAGGGCCAGCCCAAGCCTAGGACTTCCCTGAAAGGTCCCAGCCGGACAAAGCAAACCCCTCCTAGGAGGGGTTCCAAGCCAGGAATGCCTGCTTCCTGCCCCAGTCACAGGCAGAATTACCTTCTTCTGTCCC